TATTTCCATAAAGCATATGGAGTGCAACGTCACAGGGGGCTCCAGCCGGTTCGGTTTTGTATTGGAACCCCGAGGTATTGAACCCCGACCTGGTGGCTGCCGACTCCACCTGGCAGAAGGGTTACACCTGTCAAGAAAAGCAGAAAAATGACAATAGGTTCCAAGGCCACTGAGATTGTAATGTGCAAACTGGCGGGTTGTCTCTGGGAGGCAACACACAAAGCCCCTGGATCCTGACCCATAGGGATAATGGAGCCAAGGGAAATTCTTCACGGTGCTGACTGCTCATTGGGGATGATCCATCTGCACAGACAAGGTTTCAATCCCAGGGGACAATCTGATCTATTCAGATCATTACACTGCAAGAGCCAATGCCTGCCTAGCCCACAGTGAGTGACCCCTGGAGCTCCCAGGAGAGCCAAGGGAAGGGAACGCGGAGGTGCCAGGACAGGACATTCTGTTCTGGTGCCTAAGACATCTAGGATACTCCTGGATAGTGACTGACTCTCACTAACACTTGCAGTGATGTTCCCAGCTGGCTCACAACCAATCCTGCGTCATTCGGGGGACACAGCACCTTTACAGCAGTAATGAGACCCAGCTAGAGATGACTGTGTCACAGGCTGGTACTAGAACAGAGCAGAGGACCTCTTACCGTGTTGGTGCTGGGGGTGGGGACAGCAGACATGGATAGATCGGATGTCTGAGATTTTGTGCTGTACGTTCGGAATCCCTTGATCCATCTCCTGTACTCCTCTTTCACCTGGAGAGTGAGGGACACGGTCACTGCACTATGTAAGGTGAAGGTGCTGGGTGGGCGCTAATAGGCTGTGGGCATTACCTGGCGATTGAGGAGACAGTGCACCAGGAAGATGAAGGCTCCCTGCAGGCTGTTGACAATGAAGAGTAAATACTCTATGACGATGAATTGTGAGAGGGGAGCAAGGCTCCATGTGCAGCCCAGAACGAAGAGCTGGGCAATGGCTTTAAAGGTCAGTAACCTGGATAAAGGCAGATGGAGAGATCCCGTTATAATAACCCTATGGAGAGTAATTGGGTCAGGAGGATCGGGGCAGAATGGGGTGGAGCTACTGGCCCTGGCTTTCCTGTGTGGGACACGGTTACTGTCAATAAAAACACTGTGTTTATTCGTTCCCATGGATCCTAGATATGCTGTTCCCCTCCTGCAATCCCTCACACCCTCCCTGTGCCAAGGACCGTCCAAACCAAGGCATCTGACCCTCCAGGATTTTTTTGTTGCCTTCTCACCTGTGCTCTCTGAGGGTGGACACATCTGCATTGAGGGAGGAGAGTGTTTTTCTGAGGATCCACAGAGTCAGGGCAAAGAACATTATATTTATCTGTGGGAAGAGTGGGAAATATTTCCTGTAAAACATCCCATCCGGGGCCGGTGACTCCAGCTGAGGCAGAGAACAATCCCAGGGGACCGAGCCAATCACCCCCTCTCCTGTAATATCCCCTGGCAGCTCTCGGTCCCTTCCCATGCGTGGAGCTGACAGCACAGCCAGGGCTGAGATGGATCAATGGGATCACAGACGCCAGATGCTCCTCAAAGTTAAATATGGAGCCTCTTCAGTGGAGTCAGTAGCAATTTTGTGTTTACACTGGTGTAACTGAGAGCAGGATCTGGCTCAGAGATTCCAGATCCTGCCTCTAGAATACTTCCTGCCACTTTCAGAGTGTAACGAATTCCCCGCCTCCCCAACTTCTACAGGGTGTAGGGAGGAATATGTAGGGACATTTGTTTCCACCCCCCTAGAAAAACCACTGCTCATTGGGGATGCAGCCTTCTCCCTTCCTTGTTCCTTGGGTCATTAACTAAACTAGATCACACTCGTGCTGTCTTTACTTGGCAAAACTCCTGACGTCCATGGCAGCTGTGCCCGACTAAAAGCTGTAGGCCTGGGGACACAGCCCAGGGACTAATCCTGCGACTAACCCAGCAGATGAGCCAGGTGGGACCTAACTGGATTTTTCCTTGTATTTTATATACCACGTTCTCCTCCCTGCTTCACTGAAATAAATGGGGTTACAGAGGTCAGAGGAGAATGGGGCCCTGTGGTTCTGTGAGGTACCCACCAGGATTATGGCACAGACTGGACCCAGGAAGCTCCAA